CAAAATTGAACTATGCTCTTCTCGCCTTCAAAGGCATGTAATCTCTCTAAGAAGTTTTCAATCACTCAAAAAAATAACTCTTTTCTAAGCTCAAACATACCTGCATGTGCTCTAATAAATATGACTAACACTCCAACGCAAAGCCTGAGAATGCTACGCAAGATAAAAATGAAATAAACGCATACTAAATGTGATCCTCTGCAAGCAAGTTAGTAGAGTTGATAAAGTCAAAAATAACAAAATAAAATATCTTAACACTCCGATAATGGTCGTGTTTACAAAAAATCTCAACCGAAGAGGTTCATTCTGAAATCAAATTTTCATACTTCAAATTAATACTGCAATTGACTTAAATATCACTCTAATAATAGTCTTGTTGATAAAAAATCTGAACCAAAGGGATGCATTCATTAAAAAGCAATTTTTTATACTGCAAATATTAATACTTAAAAGGACTTTAATGTCATCTTGATGATGGCTGTGTTGATAGAAAATCTCAATAGGATAGATCTATTCCTAAAACAAATTTTTCAAGATGAAAATTTTAACACTTCAACTGACTTCAATTTTACCCCATAATGGTCGTGACAGCAAATCCCAATTGGAAGGAACTCTATTTTTTTAAATACAACCAAATTTTTGTACAAATCACTTTGGGCTTGAATTCAAGCAAAATTTGGGAATACTATAACAACAAGCCTTTATCCCATTATGTTAAGTCAGCCAGATGTATTTTTGGAGCCCATACCAAACATTTTTTTAACAAAATGGGAAGATGCTTTCAAAATCATAGTGATTCAACTTTAACAAAAATTACACCAGGTAGCTTAAAGAAGAAATAAAGAAGCTATATAGAAAAATCAAGCACAGAGAAACCATTTTATTATAAGGATAACTTTTTAGCCAATAGCATATTAATCAAGATTTGAAACTTGTTTGGCAAGATCTTATGTCGGCTGGTTTTCACAATGGAAATTTCAATCAAGCAGTAAAATAATTAAGAAAAGTCCATCGAATGGAAAAATGTTCAGTATGTATTTAGGCGGTTCATGAAAAATAAAAAGCAGATAAATGTGATAGAAAACATGCATTTGAATGATGCACGTATGTGCATGTGCATGCTAGAATTCAAGAATGCCTCAAGAACACCAAATAGAAATCAACAACAACAGTTAACATACGCCCAAAAGTTCAAAGCCTGGAATAACTGCATATCCTGTAATCAGCCCTATCCCATTTCAAAATACATGGATCAAGATAGACAAGAACAGTTTGATCTATAAAAATGAACAGTACTATAAAGCACAATTCCCATATCTTCAAGTAAAAGACAAGATTTCAAACAAACTATGATCAAACAGAGACATATGCTTAGTGCAAACCATGAACAGTGATTGTTACATCTTGTATGGCATAACACACAAGGGATATCCTCCCGCCACCACCACCTCCCCACCCACTCCCTCCAGCAGCACTGATAGTACCCTTTCCTTTCCTAAGAATAGAGCAAAAACACATATCAGACAATTCATCATCCTTAAATCAAAATAAAATTAATCTATTTAAATCTTAAAAATGAAAAAAAATGAAATGTCCGATAAAATGACATTAAAACCTAAGAAGCTAAGAATATCATTTTTAAAATTTAAAAGTACCAAAATCCGGGAAATGTTAAAAGTTCTACGAAAACTCATGTAGAACTTCAGAAAATTGTTCTTGTTAGGCTTGTGCACTCAAATCAATCTACAGAGGGCTAAAGCTCGTTTTAGAACAACGTTTCCAAGATAATAACTATAAGGTACCATACACAATGTTTCCAAAATAAGACCACAGAGGACCATGATTTACCATACTTTTGCAAAAAGATAGAGTAGCAATTAAAGTTGTCACCACACTGTTTTAAAATAAAATGAAAAAAAAAAAGTGGAGAAAATCTCATGTCCTTGAAGCATTTTTTTGTCATACATCTAATGTCAATTATCTGAGAGGTAATCACTTGCATCTCAACTACAAAATAGTACAAATTTGATTCAATTTAGTGAAGCAATTTGAGAATTCTGAACTGAAAAGATGCTTGTATTCATTGAGCATGGACCTGAATTTTTTATAGCTATAATTATAATGACATTTTATGTTATTTTGAGATTTTTTTTTAATTACTAAGTGAGCAAATTAAACTCTCAAAAATAAAGGCATTTGAGTTTCCTTTCAGGATATTCAGATGGTTAGGATAGCGAGCCTATATGGAAAGCTCCAATAACTGTGCAAAATAATAACAGTATAACATAATACATCGGGAACCTTCTGTAATGTAATTTTCAATGTCCACAAATTACATACTGTAGTTACAAAAATGATGGCCCATTTCTAAGGGGAATTTATAAAAGGAGGGCTATCTTAGGTAGTATTGTATTCTGTTGTATCAAATAAAGTCATTGCTAGTCTGATAAAATTATAAAAGTTGCACTGCCATGTCTACTCAGTGTTATGAAGCCATGTAGTGGGTGCACGCGGGCATTCCCATTGTGCATTTAGTGATCAAATCAAAGTTCTGGCATAGAATATTTCTGAAAAAAAAAAGGAAAATGCATCAAAAAAATTTAAAAATGTTTAAGTTTTCTTCATCCAAGTGATTATATTTGCTGCTGATTCAACCTAAGTGACGCTCGACTCTTCAAGGAGTGAAGAAGAGGGTGGGTAGCAGTGTTCCAATGTACAAAATGAGAATTTACAATTGTCTATTCCATATTTTAAGGTACAAAACACAAGTTAGATTTAGTGCCAAGTGCTCCGCTCCTTCGACTGGTTGAATCTCAGGTTCTCTATTTTGTTCATCCAAAAGGAGGTCGAGGATTTACCAAAGCTCCAAGGACTGAGTAAGGAAAAACCGGGTTCTTTAGGCTTCACAGGAGCTCCCCCCTACCTCTACTTGCAAAGAAGGTCCCTGCAACACCTAAGTTTCACGGCCTACTTAATTTTTACCTATTATTTAACCAAGATGCCAATCTATTAACAATAACCTTGCATATCTATTCATCATTTAGTCAATTTATGCTAACAAGAAGATAAGCATCCTTTAATAAACCTCGGCTGAGCAGATAAAGAAAAGATTTGTTAAGCGTAAACATAGCTTTTAAAACTGGCAAAAGAAAAAAAAAAAAAAAAGCACGGCACAACTGCAAGAACAAACCCTAATTAACGGATGGAATTTTATCATGATTACGAGTTTGTGAACCTTCAACACTGTAAAATTCAGCAAAAAAATCACACAATAGATAATATAGTAAAGCAGCTAAAATTAAAACTTACAACTTTAAAGCATAAATCAATATACTTCCACCAGAACCACCACCACCTTTGAGACCTCCTGCGCCTCCATCAGCAGTTACTAATCCATCAACATTCAATAAATCCCTAACGTCAAACTTGATCCTGCCACCACCATCACCTCCATAGAGCTTGTCAGCAGAGGTGCTCCCTCCCTTGCTCCCATAACTCCATGGTTCAGATAATGTTGACCAGGCATAAACATCTCCACCCCAATTTGTTTTGTTACTTTTCAAACAAGAAGCACCACGCCCACCATGCCCTCCACCAGCTCCATCATAGCCAATCGGTGTACCACTTGTTTGCTCAGGTGGTGGCCCACCTGATGCTGCCGTATTAATGGTTGAATGGAGGTCGAGGCTAAGATTGGTTGAAACAAAAATGATTGATCCTGCAATAATTTCAGCATATGAACCAACTCTAACTATGCCTGAGATATTGACAGTCACATAACATCCTTTTGCAGCACATATTATAGAAACACCTGGAGATATCTCTAGGTTCCCGGTCCCATATATACACAGGTCATCTGTGTAAGATAGATTTGAACTTATGATGCATGTTTCATTCAATGAGCCAATACCTTTAAGGTCCTGACAAGAAACGGAATTCAAAGAAGATAAACAGGAACCCTCTTCAGACTGGTGATACTGGTTCCTATAGTAAGAATCAAGTGAAACTGATCCAAATGACTCTTGAGTCAACCTTTCTAAATCTAAGCCTTTAACCACACAATCTTCAAGACTTGAAAAGAAAATTGTTATTAAGAAAAAACCTAAATAGGATGCCAGATTATGCTTCCAATTTTGAGAACAGGATGCATGGATATTCATGCAGCCAAAGAACATGACAGTTTATCCACTGATTTCTAATCATACAAATAGAGAGGAATATGGTTGAAAGTATGAATTAAAGCATATACTCTGTGCGCATAGAAAGAGTTACTAAGCCAACAGCCCACACTTGGGTCATGATTCTGTTTCCCTGTTAAGAGACAGCGAGAAATGTTAGTGGTCATGTTAAAATATAACAAATGAAAGGAGAAATTAGAAGGTGCTGTTCCAAATTAAAGTTTCATTTACTAGTAATGTTAAACAATTTGAACATGAGTCAAAAAATTAATTTGGACTTCTTGGAGCAAGGAATAAGACCAAATCTTGCCCTAAACAGTCCCTGATACCCCTACTTTATTTAAACTAGCATAGCCCAGCGCATACTAAGAAGGATGGATGAGATCCTACTGAAATTCTAGAAGCTATGAAAGCCAACTTAATTGTCAAATATTAGAGTCAATGATAAAGTAACTAATTAAGATGCTGGTCCGGCTTGTTACCTTAAGTTGGCAATATGGTGTTTAAACTTTTAGTAAACCCAAAAGACTTCGTTTCACACAGATTGTATAAAAGATATGGACCAGACAAAAAAAGACCGCCACATTTGTTTTTTGATGATTCACTCAAGCAGAAGAGAGAAAAAAAAAACTTCCCATCAAATGATTTAAATAAAGTTTAAAAATATGAACAAACAATTGGCTGTAGAAGGGTGTGAACAGGTTACTACAAGGGGGATTTTGAGAGGTTAGCTTACATGGCGAAAAAGAGAGAGGTAAAGATCATAATTTCTGCAAGGAAAAGAAAAAAATATGCTAAGGGATAAAGCTGGACACGGATCATGACAACAAATAAACTTTTACACGAATTAAGAGATCAGTTAACCAGGATTGTATGCCTAAACCGTTGCAATAATACGTATCCTGACTTCATCCTTTTCAATGCAAAGGCTTCTCGCTTTTCCCACCACGTTTGATGTGAAGGTAAGTTTTGCAGCATTTTTCAATACATAAGTTGTGACATGCCTTCACTTGTCTAATGTTGGGACGTGTCCCATAAACTTTACAGGGTGTAAATCATGGCCCATTCCACTATGGATAATGATGAGGCATGTCTCAGAGCCTTTTCTTTCATATTATCTGAGATTTCAATAAGAAATCCACTCCGAATGCCACTATAGTTGAACCCAGGATACATTTTCTGAAATTTATTCTTTGTACAGAATCACAGATTGAGATAGGCTGGAGATAGATGCTTGCAAATCAATCTGTGAAACAACTGAAGTAAAAATACAATGCAACTTCATTTTTTTTTTTATAGAATCAAGCCTTCAGTTGATTTTGTAGCAAGGCCTCGATGTAACAGATAAGGAGCCATTATGCAGAGTTAAACAAGGTAAAAATTATAGTGCCACAATTTTCTATTAGGTAATTAGTCAAAATCTACAAAATTAAGCGAACCATAAACCTGCTCAAGTTATGATGTCATGCCAAGGTCCCGTTTTGATCTCATCATCCAATTGTCATTTATTTAGTGCTGTTTCAATCATTTTGTTTCCTAGTTCTCTAGGTTGTTGTAAGTCTACTAAGTCCATGTTTTTCTAATCCATGGTAAGCTTTTCTACATGACTAAGGGAACATTTATTGCCCTTCATGGATGTGTCAAGTTCTCTCCGGGGTGTGTGATGCAGGACATATATGAAAATTTGATTTAGATAATGAATTTGCACGCTTAACGAGTAAGAGCGAATTAATTAAAGCTTTGTGATGACTCAAACAAAGAAATAAAACCAAAGAACGGTAAACACAAACTTAGGCCAAGTTACTTGCGAAAAAGTAAATAAAAACACATAATAATCAATTGCTCTAGACGTTGCAAACGAAATGGGTTTCAGCGAGAAATCTCTACTCTAACAATAAGAGTACTGCTATGAAAGATCTCTCACACAACTCCTAATAAATGCTAGGCTTTAGCCGGAAGAATTAACACAACTTTCCATGAGTCAATTAGAACTACAATTGAGAACGACTAAAAGATAAAAGAGTAGGAAGAGAGATCACCCAAGTAAACAAGACAAACGAAGCACCGGTGTGGGGTTTATGTGCTTGAGAGGAAGTAGACAGCAACTAGCGGCTTCTGAGGTGGCTGTTCAGCAACAAATTTCTGTTGGAGTCTTTGGACAGCAAGTTAGAACCCGGAGACAGATTCTGGACAGCACCCTACTAGGTTTGACAAGCCTTGGACTGCTCTTCTATGCTACCGGAGGCTACGGACAGCAGATTATGAACTTTTAGGCTGCTGAACAGCAGTTCTCTTGAGTCTGAAATTCAGGACAGCAACTAGATCTTGTCCAAAATCCTGAAATTATTCTGGACAGCGGCTGGTCTTTCTCTTGGACAGCAGGAGAATCAAGTGTTGGGGCTAGGGTTGAAGTGGGTGGCGGGTAGAGAGGGGGAGGAGGGGAGGAGGAATTAGGGTATTAATTCCTTTGATTGGAGCTTAATGTTTTGGAAAGAAATCAATTGGGAGAGGGACCACATGGCCGGCTGCATCAAGAGAGTGGAGGGGATTGGGGATAGGGTTTAATGCTTGCCTCTTTGGGAATTCCAATTAAGAAGGGAAAAATTAACTCCAATCCAATTCAAAGTTGATTTGGATTTGATTGGATAAGTTTCCTAAAATAGTATCTTATTTTAAGAAGCAATTTGAATTTGGGGAGAGGAGGTTTGAATTATTTCCAAGAGGAGAGATTGGGCTTAGGAAATAAATCCAAGGACTTAAAGGAGGTGGGGGCCGGCGGCTTAATGGGGCTAGGGAGATTTGGAAAGAAAGTTAACACCTTCCAAAAATAGGGAACGTCAAATAAGGAAAAGGGATTTAATCAAATTTGATTTGGATTAGATTTGATGACTTTCCAAAAATATATTTGAGATTTTAGGAAAGGATTTGAATTTCAAATCCATTGGATTTGAATTCAAAATCTGCCCCAAATTTTGTTCAAACCCAAATTAGGAAATAAGGAAATGTAGGGGAAAGAGGCTAGGGAGGCCAGCGGCTTGGGTGGGGGAAAAACGTGGAGCCAAGGTTTGGGGAAAAGGGGATTGGGATGATTTGTGGGTTGGCGGTTTGGAGGGGAAAGTGAGGGGGACGGTGAAGAGGATGGTGGCCGGTGGCAAGAGGGGCAAGGGGTTTGGGTTGAATGGCTTGGTGGTGGGAGACGTTGGCCGGTGGTAAGGTGGGGGTGGCTAGGGAACCCAGCGGCTAGGAAGAAAAGAGATTGAAAGAAAAAGAATGATAAAATAAACCACGAACCCGACCGTCTCCAAGGTGGGTGGGTGATCCGTTTTCCCTCCCTAGGAGTCTCTCCAAAGCTCTCTCCTAGAACTCTCACCACTCAAAGAACACATGTGCAAGAATTTTCTTATCATTCATTCATTAACCCTCCAAGAAGAAGATGGAGGCTTTAAATAGCCAAATACATGAAGGGATACAACAAAGATGTTATTGCCCCTAGGGCATACATAAGACAAAGCTCTCAAGTGAGGGTAGAAAGGGAAAAAAATAATAACAAATCAAATACATAAAATAGATCAAAATAAATAGGCACGATCGTAGCTATAGATCTCTGATGTCCTCATCATTCTCCCCGGATGGGAGAAAACTCGACTCCGTCGAGTGGGTGTCTTGAGAACTCTCGTGCATCTAGGTCGATCCGCTATAGCTCCTCGCGCTCTGACTATATCCTCTGACTCTGGCTTAACTCTCCACCTAATCAAAAACCTTCTTCGACCATCCTCTTTTGCAGAAATAATATCATCACTTAAAATCATGCCAACCTTCTCCGCTATAGGTATTTTAGAAACATTTGGGAGTGGATGTAAGCCTAGGTTCTCACAAGGTGGGGTCACACAAGGCTCAAATTGAAGTTGATTTGGCGGGTTACACTCCAGATCCTCATAGGCAACCAGATCTTCAATGTTAAAGGAGGGATTAATACCGAATTCTGCAGGCATATCCACTATGCAAGCATTGCGTTGATTCTCTTGATTATTTTGAATGGCCCTACACTTTTGGCATGTAACTTCTTAACAGTACCTTGTGGAAACCGTTACGGACGAATCTGCACCATCACTGAGTCACCGACCTCTGAAGCTTTAAATCTTTGTTTAAAGTCAACAGGAAGCTTATAATTAATGTTGCTCTGCTCAATTTTGCGAGCAATTTCCTTATGTAAATCATGCAAATGAAATGCACATGTAGATGCAGACTCAGAAATCCTATACCTAGGACACATGTGTATGAGATTTATCGACGGCCTAGGATGGAACCCATAAACATCTTTGGCGGGACTTAAACTAGTGGTACAGGTCATAGAGTCAAGGTAGGCGAGCTCGACTGTGGGGAGTTTAGATAGAGAGGCTCCAGGGACTAGATCTAAAACATACCGGATGTCTCTAATTGGAGGCAATGGATCAGGAAGATCATTAGGGAAGACCTCAACAAGTCTAGTAGGTATGGGCTGAATCTCCTAAGGGACTGATTCATCAGACTCAGTGGAAGTCTCACGATCGACTAAGGTGTGTAAAAGGGCGCTCTGGGCTATAGCGGTTATCAGGTTCAGTCCCTTCTTGGCTTTGACAGGGTTGGATTCATGACCATCCAAAACTCAAGGCTGTGATCGCAAAAGCTTGATCTTTTTGCCCTCATATTCAAACACGCAGATGTTTGAACGACCATAGATGTAGACATCGTTGTCAAATAGCCAGGGACGACCTAGAAGGATTTGTCCAACATTCATAATCAACACATTACACCAAACGTTTTCCTTATAGTCAGCGAAGGAGATAGGTATGGAGCTTCGTTCTTTTACCTCCAAGGTAGTGGTGTTGACCCAAGCAATCTTATAGGGGTTGGGATTATGAACGACAGACAAGCCAAGCTTAGACACCATGCTAGAGGAGACAGCATTGATGTAGCTGTCACTATGCACGACGACTTTACACTTCTTATCCTTGATTTTGGTGTAGGTGTGAAAAATGGTAGTCCTATGCCAGTCGTCAGTGGTGACGGGTTGTGACAATGCGCATCTCACCACGCAGGTGGGAGAAGTGTCAACTTTCTTAATGTACCGAATGATTGCAGTGTCGTAATCCT